TAGTGACTTTAAACAAAGTGCTCTTGGGAGACACACCAAGCTTATCCTTGTATATAATTTTTTTATTCTTTTCTCTCATTTCTTATTATGTTTTAGGATCTTTTGATGGGTTTTGTGAGTTGGTCTCAGGTTCTAGGCGATTTTTGGAGGACATAGCTCAGTGATGAATAGAATGGAGCATGTGAGAGAGCTGAGAGAAGTGTTTAAGGACTGAAAAACTTGGAGAACGCCTCAGTGCTACCTAGGTGTGCGGTTTGGATCAAGAAGAGCCCAGGCCGCAGCAGGACTCGCAATTAACTCCGGCTTGGGCGTGCTACCTAGTGAAAGATGTCCAGGCCACAGCAAAAGAAGAACAGGCCAAGAGTTCTAAGTCCCAAACTCTGCTACCTGGTTGTGCTACCTAGGAACAAGAGAAACCAAGTCGCACATACACTCTCAATTTACTCCAAGTTAGGTGTGCTAGCTGGGAAAAGAGAAACCAGGTAGCAGCATAAGAAGATTGGCCAATTTCCTAAGTCCAAAAACATGCGGCCAAGTCATGCTACCTGGGAAGTATGGAGACTAGGTAGCAGCAAAAGAGGAGTGGCCGAGGAGTTTAAGTGACAAAAGCTGCGACTTAGGTGTGCTACCTGGGAAAAGAGGAACTAGGTAGCAGCAAAAGAAGAAAGGCCGAGGTATCTATGTCCCAAAGTCTGCGAGTTGGTCCAAGACAAGTCCATGCCGCACAAGAGAGTTCAGGCCAAGCCAAACCCATCTCTAGTGGTGTCTGGCCTCATCTGGTGCAGATACTCACTCCACTTTTGCACAAGAACCACACCAGGTATCACTCCAAACACTTGTAAATGAGCATTTAGCATTTTTCTTTATCTTTTGCATTTCATGTTTGATTTTTTTCTCTTTCTCATGCTTTTATAACACAAGGGACTGTGTTATTTAAGTGTGGGGGAGGGGTTTTGTGTTTACTAATCATGTTTATTCTGATCTTATTTTCCTTTTCACTTTGAGTCTCATTTTGCATTCATCTAAGTGCATATAAAAACCAAAAAAATGGAAAAATCTGAAAAAATTTTCACAAAAAAATGCTCATGTAGTTGCATTCACATTTTAGGTTGAGTCTAGTTTGCATTTTCATATAGGTTTGCATAATATGCAAATGGGAGTAATGATAGGTTCTTTCCTTGAGAGTACATCACTTTGAGAATTTGGATTAAATATGCTTGTGAAATGACTTCTTTGCTTGCAAGGCTTGAAATGATTTGAATCTGACAAGCAAGTTTGAATTGAACTCAACTCTAATAAGTGAAAACCTTGAACTTGACTTGAAATTATCTTGTGATGCATTGTTTGATAAGCTTGTGGATACCTATATACATATTTGAGCTAGAATCCTGTTTTTACCACCCTCTTCCTTAGCTCAAATAGCTGAGTCCACATCTGGATCAGTTTTCCTCACCTTGAACCCATCCTTCCTTCAAGCCAAATGTTTGTGTGTGATTGAAAGGCCACCTTGGATCAAACTTAGCAGAAAGTGTTAGGTTTAGAGCGACAAGGGCAAGACTCATTGAGTGTTAAGTTCCATCATCAAGGAGCTGAGAGATTTGGTGAGAACTAAGTGATGGGGAATACTTGTTGGTGAGTGGAAAAAAGGAGAGATGAGTGGAAATAAAAGGAGAATGGTGATAACTAGGGGATAGAAAAAGAAAAGAAATCAGTCTTGGAGTTTTGAGTCAAGAAAGTGAGCTCTAGTGTTTTGAAAAGAAAAAGTCTAGCCTCTAAGTGAAAAGAAAAGAAAAGAAGCCCAAGAGCTCAAATGTTTTAAAAAGAAAGAAAAAAGAGGCTAGAGGTTACAAAAGAAAGTGAAAAAGAGCTATGTAAAGTTTGGACTCCAAGACTTGAGTGTGAAAATGAAAAGTGAGTCCCCTAGTGAGAGGAAAATGAGTGTGAAAAGTGAGGATCTTGAGAGGTTGAGCAAGTGAGAAAGCTTTGAGTAGAGTGTGGGGTGGGATGAGTCCTTGCCCTTGTATGCATAGGTTGCTTTTTACCTTTAGCATTCTGCCAAAGTTTGATCATTCATAGAGAGATCCCCTTGCTGCATTGAACCCACTCAGGCGCTGATGAGATCATTTTAGTCTCATTACCTCACCCTAGCCAAACTTTGCTTGTTTGAACATAACATCATTTGATCCACTTGGTAAAGAGCTTAATGAATGTCAAAGAGTTGAGGAATAAGAGAACTTGTGGAGATTACTGTTGAGTTGATACATCAGAGTATGGTCTTGCATTGCATATTGAGCATGAACTTGAATTCTCTTAGTTGTCACTTTTCTCTTTCAAAGGAAATATGAACTCCCAATGCATTCAACCTCTCTCTCTCGTTTGTTCTTTTTGCTTGAGGACAAGCAAAGGATAAGTGTGGGGGAGTTGATATATTCATAAATTGCATCATTTAATGTACATATTCTAGTCAAAATCATGTCTTATTTGCATGCATTTTAGGTCTTTAGGCATTGTTTTAGGACTTAGGAGATTGCATTAGGTCCAAGAGAGTTTTGCATGTTTTGGAGTGTTAAACAGGTGCTTTTGGAGCCAATTTGGAGTGGATGATGTGATTCAGATGAAGAAATGGAGTTGGAATGATCAAAAATGGTGAAAAGGAGCAATTTTGGGTTTCTCGGCAAAATGGTGTACTGAAGGTCGAAGGTTCTCGACCAAAATCCTTCCCGCGGGTAGCTTTCTCGGCCAAAAACACGTACCGCGGTCAAGTCTCTCGGCCAAAATCTCCGGGTGCAGACACGTTTCCGAAATCGCCTGTCCGGGGAACCTTCCGGTCAGATTTAGCTGTCGGAGTCTTCATAAAAGTTGGAGATAATTGAGTCAAGAGTTCATAACAGTTGGAATCAAGGAATTTGGACCACGGAGCTGAAAGCTATGGTAATCGTAAGACGAACAGGTCTCGCACTCATTCCAGAGCAATCCGATATTCCTGAATGATCGCCTGTCCGGGGAACCTTCCGGTCCGATTCAGATGTCGGGTGCTTCATAGAAGTTGGAGAGGATTGGATCACGGTCCCATAGCAAGCGGAATCGTGGAATTCGGACGCGTGAGAAGAGAGTTAAGCTCGTCGGAAGGAACCCCTGTCTCGCAGCTGTTCCGGACCAAGCAGATCAGTTCTGAAGAATGCGAAGGACGGTGTACTTCCAGGCCGATTCAGTTTCCGGGGTCTTCTTGAGAATCAGAGACAATTGAGTCTTCTTTCCAGAACGTCCAAGATCATTCGATTCGGAGCTATGAGCAGGAATATACGGTCTCCGGAAACGACACATGTCTAGACGCCTCTCTCTGGTCGTGTAAATGCACTGCAAAGATGTGCCCTTCAGGAAGCCTTCCACTTCCCAAGCACCGAGGCTTCCTTCACCAAAGTTGGGGATAAATGAGCCCTCTGTCATCTGCAACCAAAATCACTCAATTCGGACAATTATCTTAGAAGTTACACTCTCCGGAATACGAAGTGGTCCATGCTGCTCTGAATGCTGCGAGATGGTCTTGCGACTTGGTTAACTCGCAAGCCTGAAGACGAATGCCTGGAAATTGATGCTGCGAGTTGAGAAGTGCGGGTAAGCTATCAATGGATGAGGTCTGAGGCTCCCGAGCAAGAAAATTGCTAAGTCCACAATACTGCGACTTGGGCATGCTACCTGGGAGACCAAAGAGCTAAGTCCACAATAAAGCCGCATGATCATTCGCAATTTACTCCGACTTGAGCCTGCGACCTGGGACTAGGGATGACCAAGTCGCACATGTACATTCCCCAGAAACCTCCTTGGTCCTGCGAGTTGAAGAAGAAGAAGATTAAGCCGCAGCAAGACTCGCAAAACACTCCTACTTGGGCGTGCGGCTAAGACAAAGCGATTTAAGTCTCACAAGACAAGTTCTTCATTTACTGCGACTTGGGCGTGCTACCTGGGAGACACTGGACCAACCCGCAGTAATTCCACTTTACCCACTAAAGCCGGGTCAGAACCCGGTTTGTTCCGGGCTGACCCGGTTCATTAGCACTTAGTATATATAGCTTTTTGGAGAAAAACCCTAGGGAGGTTATCTTCTACTTAGTTTTCTCTCTAGTTTTCTTTCCTTTTTAGTGTAAAACGTTTTTGATTAAGAGATATCTGAAGGGATTTGATCATTCCAAGTCTGTTTCTTATCATCTCATCATCTCATTTCTGCTTCTAATCATGATTAACATCATCTCTTGCAAAATATTAGATGTGTTCTTCATGATTAGTGAGTAGTCATCTTTTAAACTTCTAGGTGTGTAGATTAGGGTGCTTAGATGTTTGATTTGTGATGTTTAGGGTTTAGATTCTCATTTCATTTCCTTAGTTAGCTGCTCCTAATGCCTGATTTCCTTGGGAAAGTGAAATCTGGGTTCATAGGCATTTCATGCACCAAAAGTGTTTGATGAAATGCCTGAAAGAGCTAACTTAAGGGTTTATGTTTTAAATGCCATGGGAATGTTTGTTTGAAGCATAAATGACCTATTAGAACTGTTTCTTAATGCTCATTAGTTCATATTTCACAAATGAGAATTTGGTTTGAAAGTGGATTAGTGTAGAGATTAATGCCTTCCTGAGAGGATTAGTCTAGATTAGAGTTCTAAGTTGAAATGTTTGAGATCATGTGATTGCTTGTTATGTCTTTCTGTATAAGATTCAGTCTTCTTGGTTGAGAGATTGTTTGGTCACTTATTAGGCTTGATGCATTATGCTTGTTGATTTGCTTGATTATATCTAATAGTTGTTAGACTTGATTAAGTGATTAGCAAAGGGATTATTGTCATGGGAATGAATTAATCTGATTAAGAAGCCTAGACTAAAGAGTAGCAAGTGTTGCATTATATTCTTAGCATCATGAATCAATATCTAAAGCACCCTAATCAATGATCACATCTAGAGGTTTAGCTTTTATCATTTGCTTAATCACCATCATCTTATTGAGCTTGCTTTAATTACTTCCTTATCATTGCTTGTTTGTTTCTTGTTTATGATTTCATTTGTTATTTGTTATCAAAAACCTGTCTTTGACCACTTGACTTAACAACTTATCACATAAACTAGTGCCTAACTACCACACATATGGATTGACACCCCTTATACTACTTTGACAAGGGGATTGATAACCCTTCTTAAGGCCTAAAAACCTTAGTTATCAGAGCTCTTGAACATTGTTGTTGACAGCTTCATGATGAGTCTCCAAACCAGATATGCGTATCTCTGTGTCAAGGTTGCGTTTAAGAGAAGCAGGGACAGGTTCAGATGGAGTGATATCCCTGTCTTGTACACTACCAATTCCATAAATACGCCCTCTAGTAGTTAGACCTCGCTGTGTCAAAAGAAAAAACCAAATGAGCTTCATTTAAGACGAAGAAAAGTAAAAACCGCTTAAGTCCTAGTTTTTATTTTCTTTTGCTAATGCAACGTTTCCATTAAGGACTATTTGAAGTCAAGCATTGAATATCTAAAATCAAATCCAATATGCACACAAACTCATTCCTTCAAATCAACAATAAGGAGATACATAATTAATCAACAAACAGCAAAAAAATTCATATTCTTGGTTGAGCTGTAATACAATAATGAAAGAATAAGTGAGATTTTCCAAGTACCTTGAGATATTCTTGGTTGAACTTAATGCGTGAAGTAGCAGCTGTTGAGGCATTGGGAGATCCATCATCAGTTGTCATCTGTGTAACAGCTTCCTCTACTTCAAGCACAATGGACTCAGCTCGGGCATCAATAAAAGTTCCATCTTTGCGTGTGTGTGTCTTCCGCACAAACGCTGTGTAAGGTGGTGGTTCAGCAGAACCAGACTCAATCATCTGCAAAAACAAAGGAAAAATGAAGGATAAGAAAAGATATGACAGATTAAAGACTAAAATAGAAAAAAAGTAAAACAATTACCATATCATACTCAATCTTTCCAAAATGAGCTGGACCTGCACAATGCTTGTGCATCCCTTTGCCGGTAGGGTCAGATATACGGGATCCAGCAGCAGACTTGCTCCTCTTAAGTGCTGGTTCTGTTGCCCATTGCTCCTTCAGAGTGGTCCAATCAACATCGTTTATAAACTTAGGTTTCTGATTTTGCCTCTTCCTCTTGCTGATTTTTTGACAGATTGTTTGCTGTGTATGCACTTTCCATTTCTTGTAGACTAAGTCGTGAAACCTACTTTCCCAGTAGTAGTTTTGCTATAAAGAGAAAAAAGAGATTAGCATTAACAAGTTAATAAACAATAGTTAGTCTGTTAAGTAAGATAAATAGTTAACTTAGAGAAACAAATCCTTACCACAAAAGTTTGCCACCACTTATCTGTCCGCTCCTCAGGAACAAATTTCCAGCTACTCCATGGTCCCATGTAGTAGGCTTGCCAAGTTGTTTTGATGAATTTGTAGACAGATGGGTCTATACCGAACCTGAGATTAGAAATAGTAATCTCAGAGAAGAATATACAAATATAAGAACAAAGAAGTATTGTTCATGATTGCAAACTTATTACCATAAAGCACCATTGAGTTTCCTTGGATGGAGGTGTGGCTGGAATTCTCTAGAGGGAGAGTTCAATAATGCATCAAGGGTCATACGGGTGTAGTTGTTTGCAACTGAAGATGCAGCACTTGTTGATCCAATAGCTCCTGGTGGCATTACAGGATCTGAAGCTGAAGTCCTTGGAGGCATTCTTTGTTGAACTACTGGAAATATACAAAATACAGAAGTCATTCCATATCAAGATTAACAATCTAAAAGAAAGTAAGTGAGGAAGGTTCAGCATAAAGACACGGCAAATTGTTAAACCAATATTAAGCAAGAGAACTTTCATTTTCGTATGCCCTTAATAAAACCAATTAACCACCGACTTATTTTCATACAGATTTAGAAACACAAAACCTTTTCATCATACAAAATTACAAACACAAAGAGAAAAAGTAAACCAAAGTGCAAACTAGAGAAAATCAAAACCACAAAGTGCAAAGAACATCTCATCTCATCGTATATGTCAAAAATACCACCAATTGAAGAGAAAATCTAAACCCAGTTAAAAATCCCCAATTGTAAACCCTAGACAATACCCAAACACAAATTCAAACCGAAATTTCACAAAATTGAGCATGTACAAGATAAATCGAACATAAGTTTTACAAAAAAAAAGTCCAAACCCTAAGCGTTTCTGCACAAATTTCAGAAAATCAAATTGAAGAAAACTTCTGAGGAGGAGCAGACTTACCCGGCGGAGTGGACTCAGAGGGTCGTGGACGACGACGGTCAGAGTTTCTGCCGGACGAAGTCATCCCAGCTCGACGTGGAAGAGATTTGAAAGTAGAGATTTTTCTCTCTTTTAGGAGGAAGAGAATGGGTACTCGAGGAGAAAAGAGAGTGTGTTATGTGTTGTCGATTTTTTTTTGTTTTAGTTAAGTGTTAGATATAAAGGTAAACCAAAATGTTTTGGTGGTAAACCCAAAAATCTTCCGCCAAACCAAAATTTTGGTGCGTGTTTAGGTGGTAAACCCAATAATCTTCCGCCAAACCAAAAACTTTTGGGGGCAAAAAATCAAATGTTTTGGTGGCAGCAAATTGGCAAAACGAAAATAGCAAATAGCAAGTTGGTTTATTTCTTTTTAAAATTCATTTAAACCTAATTGAGTTTTTTTACCAAAATGAGATTAATCTAATTTTTAACTCAGATCATAAAACACAATCTTGATCACATAATATATAGAGACAGAGTTTCATAATACATTTTTTCAAAACTATAAAAAAAATAGCTATACAATACCGTCCAAATAGCTATACAAGATTAGAGAAAATGTATAAATCAATGTTCAAACTAAATCCACCTCTAAGCAGACCAATACAAAATCATATAAGATACTTTAAATATTAATTCATTTTCGGCATTTTAAATTAGATCATTTTTCAAATTTTCAAAAAAATACATATTAATTAGTATAGTTAACAGAAAATGTAGGCTTTCTTCTGATTTAATAATAACATTCATTTAAATTCAGTTGTGGTATATATTTTTCTTTCTAATCAAAATTTCATGATTAGAAATTTGAGACAAAACCAAAATGTTTTGTTGGTATGACAGTGATGTTGTTGTATTCTTATATATGTTATGATTGATGTTTTCGTTATTTTATAAAATATTTTTATTTGGTTTTGTTTGGATTTTTTGGATTGTTACTGATTTATAAAATTATTAAATATTTATGAATGATTCAGTTTTAATATTATATAATAATCATTTTATAATCCTGTGCTAAAATTTTTTTTGTCTTCCTGTGCTAAAATTTTTTAAATTAGAAATGCATGACAGTGATGTTGTTGTATTCTTATATATGTTATGATTGATGTTTTTGTTATTTTATAAAATATTTTTATTTGGTTTTGTTTGGATTTTTTGGATTGTTACTGATTTATAAAATTATTAAATATTTATGAATGATTCAGTTTTAATATTATATAATAATCATTTTATAATCCTATATTTAAGTAGAATAATTATATAATTGAATATTATGTTAGTTTGTATCATAAATTAAGAGTGTTTTTTTTATTAAATTTAAAAAACATCATGTTTGTGCTTGGCGCGGAAGACCACCTAGTAATATAAACATCAAAACATATTTCTCACAATAAATTAGCAAACTAATAAATTTTCACTTATACATTTAAAAATTATTAATTTTCACTTACAGCTTAGAAATTATAAATTCAACCTTGTATTTGGTTGTAAAGATAATCATAGTTTTTAGGGAGAGTTTCAGATTTAACCTGAATTTTAAAGTCAAACACCAAACTAACCTCTTTTTTTCTCTCTCCAACATTTGCCATTTTATCACAATTTTATCTTTCCCATTAAAACTATTAACGAAAATACCATTATACATCTATTATTTCGATTTTTCGTTAATTTGGCTAAAGTCTCTTTGGACCTTCTAAAGACCTTTTAATTACGAGAATGACATCTTCTTTAATTTCTTCAACCACCATGAACAACCATAAAAATGGAATAAATGCTTTTTAACCAATTTTAAAGCATAAGTAAATATTTGAGCTCATTCACTCATAACCTTCCTTATTCTTTCATAATTTCTTCTCCAAAACATCTGGGCTAAGTTACAATGCCAAAAGTCACGCATTTTCGATGATTTCTGGTTACTTGACATCTGGGTTGTTTATTTTCGGTGAAATCCTGAATTCTGGGTGTTTAAAAGAACTGTAAACGAGCTCAATTTTGTAAAAGGTAATCGTCGCTCTTCAATTTCTCCACATTTCAGTTTTCATATCGCGAAAGTAGACTTCTCATGAAGTATATTGAAGTCTACTAGTCAACATAAGGTTATTTTTGCAATTGACTTTTTAAAAGTAGACTTCATTAAACCTCACGAGAAGTCTACTCGATATCCTTTGAAAACAAAAAAAGCCTAGTAGACTTCATTTGAAGGCTTAAGAAGTCTACGAAAGAAAAGAAGTTATTTTTGTAGTTGACCGTATTTTGACTTTTAATGTAGAGTTCTTTCTAAAGTCTACTGTTTACGTCTACACAAGAAGTCTACTTTAAGTTACTTTTGTAGTTTGACCAAAAACGTATAGGTCATTTTAGTGTTTGACTAAAGTTTTAAAAAAAAAAAATACAGAAAACTCCGGAAAACTACAGTAGACTTCAGGAAGAAGTCTACTACCTGTAGACTTCTTCCTGAAGTCTACTTCTGTTTTCCGGTCAAACTTAGAATGAATCTTTTTTTGAATAGACTTTCTTGTGAAGTCTACGAAAGACAGTCAATTGCAAAAATAACCTAAATTTTTCTGTAGACTTCTATTGAATAAGTAGACTTCAAGAGTAGACTGTCAGAGAAGTCTACTCTTACTGGAAGTCTACGATAGAAGTCTACTTTGTTAGTTAATGTCCCAGTCAAATGCTAAAGTAACTTTTTTGGTCGGAAGTCTACTTTTGAAGTCTACTGAAGGAAAAGTCAACAGTTTGGTCAAATGCAAAATTAACCTGTTTTTAAGTAGACTTTTTTCGCAGACTTCCATAGAAAAAGGTAGACTTCATCGTCCAGTCTACGTTTGAAGTCTGTTGTAGAAGTCTACTTTTTGCATTTTTTTAAAAAAACGCATTTTAGGCACAATTATAAAGTATTTTTTATTTAAAAAAATGCTTGTTAGCAAGGGATTAAACTACCCAGTGAATTTCATTTTATTTCATTCGATATTTATTGCGGAATCATGTTTTTTTTTATTTTTAAGCTAGTTAGCTTATCAAAGTAGACTTCTCCAGCAATATGCTATTGAAGTCTAATTGGGAAGTCTACTTTTTGTATTTATTTTAAAAACGCTTTTCAAAAATATTTATAATGTTTTTCTAAAATTTTTAGGTTTGGATATGCGTATCAGCAAGTGGTTGAACTACTCAATGATTTTCATTTGATTTAAGTTGATATTTATTGTGGAATCGAAATTTTTGATTTATAAGCTAGTTAGCTTGTAAAAGTAGACTTCTCCAGCAATCTACAGATGAAGTCTGCACACGGAATCTTCTCTATAAATTTTTTTTTTTATGTGTTTGTAATAATGTGGTTTGTAATTTGTTTGCTAATATGATTTATTTGTATGTTTTACTACAGAGAATGGTTTAAATACCGGTTATTTACGGAGAGTAGAAGATGGAAGAGAAATAATAGCATTTTGTGGTAGATAATGGCAAATGAAGAAAAATGTTTTTTTGAAGTGATGGTTGTATCTTTGGGGAACTTACTAAACTTTGTTGCAAATACAAAGTCTCACGCTTCACTCATACAATAAGTCCCTATTCAAAAGAAGTAATATTTGAAGCTGCTGACGTGGCAAGGGCGATCATATTGGCGATTAGGGTTTCTGTTTCTTCAGCCGCGCACCATGGCCTCCGGCGAGGATCCACCACCGGTCTCTACTCAAATCGATCAGGAAAACATCGACCAATCTCAGCAAAATCAGGGAGATGCTCAGAACTCCCAACCTAAGCAACTATACTCTGACATCGTTCAAAACAAGTCGCTTCTCTACCATCATGAACTCAGGGTTACGGAAGTTGATGGAACTCCAACAGTGGTGATACCTGATGATATTATCAAAGGGTCATCTCCTCTGTGGGAGGACCTCATCGTCGGAAAGTTTCTAGCTACTACACCGCACATCGCAAAAGTGCACGTCATTGTGAATAAGATCTGGTCCTTGGGGGACAAGTCATCAAAGATTGATGCCTTTGCGGTGAACGCAACCACGATAAAGTTTTGAATTCGGAATAGTTCTGCAAGGGATCGGGTTCTTCATAGGGGTTATGTGGAACATAGCCGATGTCCCAATGATTGTGTCGAAGTGGTCTCCGGTGACTGAAGAGGCGCAACCGGAGCTTCAATCTGTGCCGATGTGGGTCGTGCTTAAAAACGTTCCACATAAGATGTTTCACTGGAAAAGTTTGAGTTTCTTGTCAAATGCTGTGGGGGTCCCTAAGAAGCTCCATCCCGATACTGAGCTCTGCAAAAGTTTTGAGGAAGCCATGATTCTTGTTGAAGCTGATCTGTCAAAGGAGTTGCCGGACTCATACCGATTTACATCAGAGAAAGGAGTGGACTCATTGGTCGAATTTCACTATCCATGGCTTCCACCGCGATGCTCAAAGTGTTCAAAGTGGGGTCATGCTCTCGAAGCTTGCCTAGCTAAGGGAGGACAAGTGAGACTGCTTAGGCGAGGTGCAGAGGATCTGCAGGATGTCTCAAAACTACAGATGGCGAAGGTTACAATATGTAATACAGAGCCTAAGAGGGTTGAACCTGAAGTCGCGCAGGGAGGTATTAATGGCACTAGTGAAGTAGCAAATCCAGTTACTTGTTCAGAGTCTGTTGGTGTATCAGGAGGCAGAAAACCTGATACAAATCAGGAAGAAGTGGCGGAAACAGTGGTAACAGATGTTGACGAAGGCACCTCATGGTGCGCAGTATCACCAGCGAAAGTTGGAAGGCAGAATGGGAAAAAAGTAAGCGACGATTCAATTGAGGTCTCTCCTTCGAGATTCAACATTTTGGATAATCTTGGGGATACTTCCGATCAGCCCTCTGATGCAGAAGTTGCAGAGGTTGTGGAGGGTGAGATCGCAGAGATCTCAGAAGGGTTATCGAGCAAGATAAATGATGGAAAAGATGAAGGTTCAAATCAAGTTAGCCTGGTGAAAGGTCGCGACGACAAACGTCCACCTGTGCCTAAAGCAAAAAAGAATTCTACCAAGTCTATCTCAGAACCTAATGCTCAAGCCACAAAGGAACAGCTCCCGAGTGCCTAGGGAAGAAGGAGTGCGCGTAACAAACAATAATTTATGTCGAATTTCTTTGTGTGGAATATTCAGGGTCTG